AACTCAGGACGATGAGTGACGTGGAATGAGGCGCTGAGATTTTTCGGGCAAAAATAACCCGTCGTTAAGTTTCCACACTTTTGTTGTTGTTTGCATAAATCACACGAAGCCTGGTCCGTTGTTAAGTTAAAAATAAAGTCATAAAAATTTCCCCAATTTGGACAAAAACGACGTCGGTTCGAATTCCGATTTTTCATGCAACTAAAAATTGATATCTCCCACTTTTTTTATGACACATCATAGCAAGCTTACATACGATGGAAGATTCACTTTGCTTAAAGAAAAAAGAATAAAGCTACGAGAAAAATAACGCTGCCAGATCACACCACCCCCACCGTGCACCCGGACTGGGCCAGTGCTGAGGCCTGTGAGGCCGTGACCCGTGCAGGCCACCAGGCCTCTGTGCAGGCCACCAGGCCTCTGTGCAGGTCGCGAGGCCTCTGTGCAGGCCACGAGGCCTCTATGCAGGCCACCAGGCCTCTGTGCAGGCCACGAGGCCTCTATGCAGGCCACCAGGCCTCTGTGCAGGCCACGAGGCCTCTGTGCAGGCCACGAGGCCTCTGTGCAGGCCACGAGGCCTCTGTGCAGGTCGCGAGGCCTCTATGCAGGCCACGAGGCCTCTGTGCAGGCCACGAGGCCTCTATGCAGGCCACGAGGCCTCTGTGCAGGCCACCAGGCCTCTGTGCAGGCCACGAGGCCTCTATGCAGGCCACCAGGCCTCTGTGCAGGCCACGAGGCCTCTATGCAGGCCACCAGGCCTCTGTGCAGGCCACGAGACCTCTGTGCAGGCCACCAGGCCTCTGTGCAGGCCACGAGGCCTCTATGCAGGCCACCAGGCCTCTGTGCAGGCCACGAGGCCTCTATGCAGGCCACCAGGCCTCTGTGCAGGCCACGAGGCCTCTATGCAGGCCACGAGGCCTCTGTGCAGGCCACCAGGCCTCTGTGCAGGCCACCAGGCCTCTATGCAGGCCACGAGGCCTCTGTGCAGGCCACCAGGCCTCTGTGCAGGCCGCGCGGCCTCTATGCAGGCCACCAGGCCTCTGTGCAGGCCACGAGGCCTCTATGCAGGCCACGAGGCCTCTGTGCAGGCCGCGAGGCCTCTGTGCAGGCCGCGAGGCCTCTGTGCAGGCCGCGAGGCCTCTATGCAGGCCACCAGGCCTCTGTGCAGGCCACGAGGCCTCTGTGCAGGCCACGAGGCCTCTGTGCAGGCCACGAGGTCTCTGTGCAGGCCACGAGGCCTCTATGCAGGCCACGAGGCCTCTGTGCAGGCCACGAGGCCTCTATGCAGGCCACGAGGTCTCTGTGCCTGCGGGCCTCTTTACAACCTCGGGGCCGCCCCGGCTGGCCTCTCTCGAGCTCGAAGGCTCCAACCAGACACGGGGCCCAACCACACAATTATCATTACACCCTACTAATCGATACACACACACAGATATATATCGAACCTTATCGCGGACGTTGCGTGGACACCGCTTCAAGACTGGGCCCGCCAACACGAACCCGGCTCGCCAGCTTCTCCGTTTCACCCCCCCCCCCCCCCGTCCAGTTTGTGTTCGTAACTTGAAGTTTTCTCGTTCTCACATCGAGCAAAAATCGCGCACCACATTTCAGCTTCGACAAACCTCTCGATGCCGCAATGCTCAGAAGGCCAAACACGGTGATCGGTAGACACGCACGGCGAGAGCGGAACGATTCACACGTCCCCGAGACGCGTCCACGGCCTCACCTGGTCGCGCCGTCGGCCGCGTTGCGAACACGTCTCGCGGTCTCCACTCCGTCGATGGCCGCACGAGATCCACGCCGCTCCCGAGCAGACAACCAAGTGGCGAACACATCCAAAACGCCGCGTCCGCTGCTGTTGTTGCTGCTGCTGCTGCTCTTAATCCCGAACGAAAGAACGTGCTCGCTCGCCACGTGACTCTCGCGCCACGTGACTGACTGGCTGACTCCCGCGCCACGTGACTCCCGTGGGCCGCTTCCGGTGATGACGTCAGCACGCGTCCCGCAGGAAGGTGCGGGGTCTAAAGTGGCGGACGTCGCTGAGCCAATGGCGAGCCGTGGCGCGACCTCCACGCGCCGCGGCTGGGATCGGAATCTTTGTTTATGCAGCGCTGGAGGAATCCGATGAGCAATGAAGCTCTTCCCCCCCCCCCCCACACACACAGATGTCTTGTAAGGACACGGCGGTCAGAAAAAGACATCAACAAAAACAACAAGCAATGCAAAAAAGCATGGTAGGCGTGGCAAAGTATACGAAAAGTAAACAAACCACTAAAGAAACTAACTTTAGATTTTATTTTAGCAGCTAAGGCCCACTGAGCTCTCAGCTTCTTTTTCAGAAGCGACCTGGCCACAAATGAAGTCTCAACAAAGTGGCTTATCGCGTGGACGTTTGTCGCAAAATTTGGAGGGAGAAACCGGAGGACCCGGAGAAAACAAGTATAACCCGTAAAAACAAAGTTTTTCACTATAAATCCTTTATATGCGTGGCGGCTCGAGTCCTCTCGTCCTCTTGCTTGAGATGGCTGCGACCTATGGGTCAGATGATTGCATGGCAGCATTAAGCAATTGGTAATTAAATATAATATTTTTGTCCTAAAAAGTGTAAAATTTTGGAATTTTTTTTTCACGAACATTAATTGTCACGCACAACGAGTCTGTGTGGAAAATGTCAGCTCGATTGGATCACGGGAAGTGGGTTAAAAACGACCGAAAGATTTGCACGGTCCTAAGCAAGCAATCGAACTTAATATAAAGGATTAAAAAAATAAGTATAACCCGTAAAAACAAAGTTTTTCACTATAAATCCTTTATATGCGTGGCAGCGAACTTAAATGTAAAGGATTAAAAAATATATATTCGCCTGTGGAGGACGCGGGGATCGATCCCGCGACTTTAGGCATGGGAAGCGAGGGCGCTACCAACTGCGCTACTCCGCCACGGCCTGTGGAGGGGTTACGCTCTGGGCTCTTGCACTGTGACGTTCAGCCAAAGCCATGAATGAGTTCTATTTGAATATATGTAAAATATTTTTTTTTTGCCTAAAAAGTGTAAAAAAAATTTTCATGAACATTAATTGTCTCGCACAACGAGTCTGTGGAAAATGTCAGCTCGATTGGATCACGGGAAGTGGGTTAAAAAACGACCGAAAGATTTGCACGGTCGTAAGCGCGCAAGCAAGCACGCAAGCAAGCAAGCGAACTTAATATAAAGGATTTAAAAATAACCCACGCGATCACGGGGAGAGAGACACACAAAGAAGAGAGAGACACACAAACTGCAAATATACAGCCTTCAGGGTCGGGATCGAACCTCCAATATCACGCATGCCAGGCGAGGAAGATGTCATCACGCCACCATGGCGCCCCTTAAATAAGTTAAAAATGAAGTCGATAAATTAATGAGTACATATTGACTTTATTTGTACATCAACTCCGAAGCTTGGTCAAAGGCAGTAAAACAACAGCAACATCAGTCGCAGGCCACATTCGAGCCCACGAACACACACGCGCGCAGTCACTCAATAAAATTGCGCATTCAAATGAAGCCATCGAAACGTGGGGTTTGGATCAGTCGCAAATCACGTGGCTCTATCCAGCGCTAAACTTCTGCTTTCAGAACATTTGTTGACGGGCAGAGATTGACGATGTCAAGGGAGGAGAAATAACATCGTCCCAACAAACACGTTGGTGCTACAACGTCCACCGCTCTCTTGTCACCTGTTCAGGAGCCTGCTCAAGGCGCGGCTCTGGCTGGAGAACGCCATGTACCACCACACACGTCGGTGATGTGCACGTCTTCTTCGAACGCATGGGAGCCGGGAAAGCCCCTCTCTGTACCAGCGTGGACGGCACCCTCGTGTCCACCTTCTGAAGCGCTCGCTCGTCACCGTGGCGTGCGCGATAACCACCACAACAACCACCACCACAAACACCATCACAACCACCACCACAATCACCACCACCACGTGACTTTTATTTCGTGTTGTGCGCGGTGCTTTAAGCGCCACAGCGCGTGGATTTGTAGCGTTTATTTTCATTTGTGTTGCTGGTGACTTTGTGTGTTTCGAATCGAAATCTCCTCCAGTGCTGTTGCTGCTGGCGGCAATAAAAGTTGTTTCAAAGTCAAAAGTCTGTCACCTATTCCAGTGCGTGCTGGTGAGTGGATGGATACACGTGACCGCGTTACTTGCGCTCCAGATGCGTCAGTGTATTTAAGACGCGTGTGTGGGGCCGTGCATAAATGACGTCACGCGATTTTGGACGATTTTTGACCCCCCCACCTCGTCACATGGCGTCACAAAGTCAGACCCCCCCCTCAAATATGACGTCACAAAGCTCTGCCCCTCCCCCCAAAACCATATTTCCATTTTGAAAATAAAACATGCTTCAAATCGCTTTAAACTGTTGTCATTGTAGTGAGTATTTAATGTGGCGCTGCACTCTGATGTTGTAGGAGTGTTGTTATAATAATTAGTGTTGTTATAACAATTTTAAATTTATTTAAAGTTGCGCATTTTGATGTGACGTCACATTTCTCCCCCCCCCCTCTTCACACATCGTCACAAATGTCTGACCCCCCCCCAGGTGCGTGACGTCATTTATGGACGGCCCCTATCCACAATCAACGACGATATTCAACAAGCATGTTTCCGATTATTGAGGATATACTAAAAATACGCTGAATAAATAAATAGTTTTTATCCAAAAACCAAACACATGCGAAATGATCAAACCACAGCAATATAAACAGCATGCCGTACTCGTCCCCGCTCTGGCCGTCGTGAGCTCCACAAAACATCTTCTGCGATCCACGGTCACCCTACCGGACATCTGTGAACAACATAAACAAAAAGAGCTTTACAGCTCACCGGATTCCTCCAGCGTGAACACGGTTTTCCGAGTCTGATGTCGGCCGCATTGTTCGGCCGTGACGGTGGCGCCCCCGTGCGTCTGTGCAGCGGCGGTGCGTCTGTCACCACCTCGAGAACGAGAATAATCCTCCCTTTGTTCCTCGCGACAACCGAGTCGGGTCGAGCGGGAGACGCCCGGGACTTGGGTGGACGCGGGTAGCGAGTGACACTCGGCCACCGGTCGCGGCGAAGTTCGCTTCAAACCGCGCACGACTCCGTACAGCCTCGTGTATCTCTGTGTCTGTCTGTGTGTCTGTCTGTGTGTGTCTCTGCGTGTGTCTCCCCGTGTCTGTGTGTCTCTGCGTGTGTCTCCGCGTGTCTGTGTGTCTCTGCGTGTGTCTGTGTGTGTCTCTGCGTGTCTGTGTGTCTCTGCGTGTGTCTGTGTGTGTCTCTGTGTGTATCTCTGTGTCTGTCTGTGTATGCATGTGTGTGTTTCTGCGTGTGTCTGTGTGTCTCTGCGTGTGCCTCCGCGTGTCGTTGTGTCTCTGCATGTGTCTGTGTGTGTCTCTGCGTGTTTCTCCGCGTGTCGTTGTGTCTCTGCGTGTGTCTGTGTGTCTCTGCGCGTTGCTGGTATTCAGGAGGTCCGGTGGACTGGCTCTGGCTCCTGCCACCATGAGGGATGGACAGTCCTCTACTCGGGGAAGGAGACTGCCAAACAACAGGGAGTGGTTCTTATTCTGAACAAAAGAATGAAGGGGGCGTGGGAGCTTGGCGGTGAGGAGTGGGAAGCTGAAAGCCCCAGGCTACTTTGGGCTCGCCTTTCCATCAACCAGAGGCGAGGAGTGGTGGTCGTGGTTACTTACGCCCCCACCGACGATGAACATCAGTGGAGGGATGCAGGCAAGGTCGATGAGTCAGATGCCTTCTATGACTTCCTGTCACAGGTGCTAGATAAAGTGGCCATTCGGGATAGTCATCCTGTTGGGCGACTCTAATGCCCAAGTTGGTAATGATGCTGGCACCTGGTCTGGAGTGATTGGAAGGCATGAGCCAGATCAGCTCAATAACAACGGTAGGAGGCTGCCAGACGTTTGTGCAGCCCATGGGCTTGTAATTACCAACACGCTGTTCTTGCATCGGCGCATCCACACAACATCATGGATGCATGCCGGGTCCAAGCAAGAACATCTGCTGGACTCCATAGTGATAGAACAGCGGATGCAGGCCCATGTCCTTGACAACAAGATCTACCGTGGAGCTGATCTGCCCACTGACCATCGGCTTGTCATCTGTAAGATGTGCCTGCCATTCTTCCATTCCCGTTGTGGGTGTACATCCAGGACCCCATTGAAACCCAAAGTGGCCTGGTCTCAGCTAGCTGATGAAAGTTGAAAGCGAGAATTTCATCATCGCTTGCAGCTAGGGTTGGCATCGTCCCCCACTCCTCTTGATGTCGAGGGGAAATGGGCGAGGTTTAGGACTGTGGCACATGCAGATGCAATGGCTGCTTTGGGTACGCGGTCCAGACCTCCCCAGCGACCCTGGCTGACAGAGGAGGTGTTCAGGTTAGCTGAGAAAAAGCGACAAGCCGGCCCACTCTCACTGTCTACAGCATCCCACGTCAGAGAATGAGGAGGCTTACCGCAGCCTCCGCTCGGAGGTACGGAGAGCCGTGCGGCGTTGCAAGGATGGGTGGTGGTCGCGGGTTGCTGAGATGGGGTCTGCCTCGGTAGCCTCCGATCACAAATCACTCTTGAATTCCATCACAAAGTGACTTGCAGCGCCACACCTACATCACGGAGCAAGTGGAAAACATCGTGGAACAAAATAGGGATGACCCTGCTGAGGCTGCGGTGCCACAAATATAGGAAGAGGAAGTCACCCCCTGTGAGTGGTTGGCTGAGGTGCCATCTGTTGAGGAAGTACTGAAGGCGATCTAGAGTCTGAGATCAGTAAAGGCACCGGGCAGAGATGATCTCCCAAGCGAAATGCTGAGGGAGGGTGGCGTTTGTGCACAGACTGCACTACATGACATCATAACAACAGTCTGGATCACTGGACGGGTTCCACAGGATTGGAAGGATGCCCTGGTGGTCCCCCTCTTTAAGAAGACCGCACAGACTGTAACAACTACAGGGGCATCTCACTCCTCAGTATGCCGGGAAAGGTCCTGGCAAGGATTATTCAACATCGCCTTGCCAGGTATGCTCAAAAGAGGCTTGTGGAGCTCCAATGTGGTTTCAGGAAAGGGCGGTCCTGCACAGATGCCATATTTTCTGTCCGTCTGTTACAGCAGATGTGTAGGGAATTCCAACTCGACTTACATCTCTGCTTTATTGACCTGGTCAATACCTTTTGGAGTTCCTGACCCTCTGCTCACGGTCATTAAGGACCTTCATGATAGTGAGCGGGCCCGGGTAAAACTACGTGGCCGGGAATCGGAGCCATTCCTTGTTCACCTTGGGGTGCGACAGGGATGTCCTCTGGCTCCCACATTATATAACATCTATTTCGATCACGTAGTTCGTGCAGCCTTCAATAGCTGTAACGAATGAATTTATATCTGGTACAGATACAATGGTAGGCTGATCGATACCCGGGTGCGGTCAAGGGATGGCTCCCTATTGCTCAACCATGTTATGTATGCCGATGATCTGGTAATTGCTGCTCATTCAGAAGAGGAGTTGGAGGCGCTGCTGCTGAACCTGGAGCGTGCCACTAAGAGGTGGGGCCTTACCATCAGCCCCACTAAAACTAAGCACCTGCCTGGGTATTTTGTACCATGGGACACTCCACCCCCACAACTCCCAATTGGTGCTGGGGCAGTTGTGGAGAGAGTGGAGAGTATCCCATACCTGGGCAGTGTGCTTATGACGGGCTCCAGTTTAACAGCAGAGGTCTTACTCCAAATCAGTCGAGCGGCAATATATTTTCATCGGTTGCGTAACGCTGTGTGGAAACTACCTGGTCTATCGCTCCGCACGAAGCTTCACGTCTTCTCGGCCACGGTCATTCCCTCCCTTCTCTACGCTTGCGAAACGTGGACCCCCCTTATGGAACATCTTCATCGGTTAGAAACATTTAGGCTGGCCTGCCTACGATCCATTCTGGTTTAAACCAGGCTGGATTGTGTGAGGAGCTCACAAATTCTTGAAAGATCTGGGCAAAGTCCCATCGGTGAGCTCCTCCGGCAGGCAAGGCTGCGTTGGCTGGGTCATGTAGCCCGCATGCCCAGCCACCGCATGCCTAAACAGCTTTTGTTCGGTCGGATCGAGGAGGCTAAATGGGCGCGGTACGGGCTAGAGAAGAGATCGAGTGATGTGGTACAGGAGGACGTGGAGCTGAGTGGACTTGTCGATGACTGGTACCAGCGGTGTCAAGATCGGCCTCTGTGGAGGAGGCTCGTGAAAGACGCTACTGGGCAGTTGGAGGCAGTCGCCCTCCAACAACAACGGAGGGCGGAGGAGCGACGCTCACAACAACGAGAGGAGCGCCGGGTGGCTAAAGCACAGCAAGTTGGCACAATAGGGGGCACAGGTGGTGCATCAGCCAGTCATCTCGTTCATCTCAGTCAGTCGACCCGTGGCACCTGGGTCTGCCTCGTGACCTCCTGCCAGCGGGCGTTCGACACTTCACGTGGCCTTAAGGTGCACATGGCCTGGCACAAGCGTCGTGGTGACGTCACCGCCACTTAGTGGCGAATGGCGGTTGTTGTTGTGATGATGCTGTGTGTGTGCGATTGTTCCTCGTGTTGTTGTTTCTTGTTCCAACCCGAGGTCTCGGGTTATGATGGGAGACAGCAACCTGACCCTGACCCCTCCCCAACCCCCCCAACCCAGCAGCAGCAGCAGTGGGGGGGGGGGGGATGCAGCAGCATTGGACCTCTTACACAACTCTCTCGTGTTTTGTAACGAGCGTCATTGCGAGAAGAGACGGAGACAGAGAGAGGAGCGCAGCGAGCGACTTCACGACTGGCGTGCGAAACTCACAAGGACTCACTCACTCACACTCACTCTTACTCACTCTTACTCACTCACTCTTACTCACTCCTCACACTCACTCACACTCACTCACTCTTACTCACTCACTCTTACTCACTCCTCACACTCACTCACACTCACTCACTCTTACTCACTCTTACTCACTCACTCTTACTCACTCACTCTTACTCACTCCTCACACTCACTCACACTCACTCACTCTTACTCACTCACTCTTGCTCACTCTCACTCTTACTCACTCCTCACACTCACTCACTCTTACTCACTCACACTCACTCATTCACACTCACACTCACTCACACTCACTCTTACTCACTCACTCATTCTTACTCACTCACACTCACTCACACTCACTCACTCACTCTTACTCACTCACTCTTACTCACTCACACTCACTCACACTCACTCTTACTCACACTCACTCACACTCACTCACACTCACTCACTCACTCTCACTCACTCGCACTCACTCACTCACACTCACTCACACTCACTCACACTCACCCTCACTCACTCGCACTCACTCAATCACTCTAACTCACTCACTCACACGTACTCACTCACATGAACTCACTCCACACATTAACGCACACACACCAACTCGTTCACACTCGCAGGTAGAGCTGCGTGTGGACCCGTCTCAACGTCGTCTCGGTCATCAGCAGCATCATCAGCTGCAGCATCATCAGCGGGAGTAGAACGACTTAAATTGATTCTCACACCGGAGATTTCAACAAGGTATGTGAAAATCGATTAATGTTTTTTTGTTACGCAAAATATAATGACAACAATCATCGTGATTGTCAGGCATGATCAATCCACTGCTGGATGAAGGCTTCCCCAAGCCGCTGCCTCTCGCGTGAGTCCACGTTGCACACCACGCAGAGTCGCGGTTGTCTGCAACGACTTCGAACGCCGTCGTCCGATGTGCAACGCCTGAGCGGAGCGCGGAGAGGTGCGCACTAGGAATGCCAAGCGGCACGTTGTCGTGAGTACCGAGTTTTATCCGCCCTGTGTCCAGGCCGCTGTGTGATGGGTGCCCCACGCGCCGTTCGTGCCGCGCTGCCGGTTCTGTCTCTCGTCTCCTTCGTCATCATGATCATCTTCAACATAGCAGCTGCCACCGGCTTCACTAAAGGTGACCCCGCACTGATGACCCCACCCGCTGACCCCCACCCGCTGACCACCACCTCCTGACCCCACCCGCTGATCCCACCTCCTGACCCAACCTGCTGACCCCACCTCCTGACCCCCACCTCCTGACCCCACCTCCTGACCCCACCTCCTGACCCCACCTGCTGACCCCACCTCCTGACCCCACCTCCTGACCCCACCTCCTGACCCCACCTGCTGTTGTATATGTTGGTTATGAAAATTTGTTATGTTGTATGCGTGCGTGGGTGAATTATTATGTTGTACGTGTGGGTTATGAATATTCAGTGGAAATAATAATAATTAATGAAATTTGGCCAAATGTGTAATTATCCGGAAATATGTTAATTATGTAATTACGCACATTTTAATTATGCCAATTCGAGAGGTAATCGTATTAATTATGCGAGTGGGTGTAATTATGATAACGCAAGTCGTTATGATAACCAGACCCCGGTTCACCCCGTTATCGCTTTAACATTTACTGAGTATGTATTAGTGTGTTTATTAAGGTCACCAAGTTCAAATCTCAACGCAGAAGCAGATCTTATGCATAGATTTCAGGAAAGAATCACACAACCACTTCTGTATTGATCAATTTATTACTAATTCAACCTTAACTATGATATAGTATGCGAACTCTCAATCCCGGAACGTCAATACGGCATCAATACAGTATCATCAACGATTGTCTGATTTCACTTTGACAACTGCACATGGATCCCGCATAACGCGATGGTTGTTAGTGAGAGAGAGAGTCGTTAAAACATGCAAATACTATGCTAAGAAAACCTTAACGTTAATGAATGATTATACTCAATATTGTTCACGCAGTACCGCACTCCTTATTGATCATACGCAACCCTTATCACGTTGTTAGCACCTTGGGTCACGGAACAGTTGAATATTCTGTAGAGGATGCGAGTACGTGCGGCGATTATGACTGAAAGATACTTGAAAGATTATACGGCGATAAAAAAAAAACACAATCAAAACAGTTACTATTCTTAAAGGCACCAATCTCAACAGATACATCGGCAGGTTATCTCAGAACGGCTCGGAGTAAGGGCCTGCGACGGTGCTCCTTTTCCGAAGATCGTTATCTTATACCAAGTTTACTAATTGGGGACCAGATCACCTGATAAGGATCCGGTGGGCCACCACTCCCCACGTGAGCGTGGCTCGGCGGAAGGAGGTGCCAAGAATCAGTTCGTATTGATGGATCTGTTGGGAATTTATGCGATTAAGAGTACAGCCCACTAAATATTAAAGATAAAAATTAAGAATACTCTTATAAACGACGGATGGCCACCACTCGGTCTCGTTGTGATGCCTTCCCAGCCACGGATGACTTATGGGTTCGAGTGTGTTTGAGTGGTAAGAGTTGTCTTGAATAGTCAGTGTTCGGAGTCGATTCTTTATGTCAAACAGACGCCTGGTGGTCGTGTGGTGAGGGGGCGGTGCGCGTCATACGTATCAGGCGCTCTCCTGTCACCGTGGTGAATTGCTCGGATGGCTGTTGATACGCTGTCGCAGTTCGGAACCCGGTCGGTAGGTGGCGCCCACAACTCGCTCGTAGCGTGCAGCGCTGGATCGTCGCCAAGTCGCGACGCTCACCACCGGCGGCAGCGGAGATCTCCGGCGGCAGCAGAGATTGACGAGCTGAAGATGAGTCGAGCCGACCCGCTGGTCGCAGCTCGCTCCTGAGTCGACCCTCCCGGTCGAGCTCGCTCCTGGGTCGACCCGCTGGTCGCCCTCGCTCCTGAGTCGACTCTCTGGTCGCACTCCTGAGTGGACCCGCTCTGGTCGCACTCGTTCCTGAGTCGACCCTCCCGGTCGAGCTTCTGAGTGGACCCTCCCGTCGCACTCGTTCCTGAGTCGACCCTCCCGGTCGAGCTTCTGAGTGGACCCTCCCGTCGCACTCGTTCCTGAGTCGACCCTCCCGGTCGAGCTTCTGAGTGGACCCTCCCGTCGCACTGGTTTCCAATGTTCAGGATCCGTTCCTTTATGCTGAAAAATCCCCCTGGATCCCGCCCACAAGGCGGGGCTTCCGATTTTTGCTGTGTCAGGATCTGTCCGTAGGCAGGTGTGTCCATGTGTGTGTCCGTATGTCCTTGTGTGCATCACTGACGGTATATTCCGTTGTCAACTCCCTCCATAAAACCCACGAGCAAACAACCAGATGTTACAAATTGTCTCGAAGTCGTCTCTCTGTCTGGGTGCAATTTATCTCTTGTCTGGCCTTCTTCATGAACCCAAAACACAGACGTTACAAATCGTCTCATAGGCGTCTTTGTTCGTGTTGCACAACCTGGAGGGGGGCAACACTCTCTCCGACCCGGCGCACAAAGAAATGGTTAAAAGTTTTAAGTTAACATTTGTCCCTTACTATTTCACAGTTATGATTCTGTATGTAACCTAAGGTCTGTCGTTTCCCATCGTGGTGCTTGACTCAAGTGTAGGTTTCCCCGAGCGTATACACACTCCTATCCCGCGCTGCGGGGATACAAAGACGGCCGGGATCTCCCTTTCTCTCCGACCCTGGGTTTAACATCGTTTTTTTTTATTATGTATTATATTCGACCTGGTTGTGATTCATCCCGTTATCCTGGCTTTTCATAAGTTTTACTTTGTCTTTTCATGCATATACTTATTACTATTAATTTATTCCCGATATCTTAGGTTAAGGGGTAAGTTTCTTGATCCTAGGAATTCGTATTCCTTGGTGCCTGGATGGTTATATAAGCGGAATATAGTTTACGGTGAATAGCGTTAACATTGATGTTATGTGCGATATTATGTATTGTGATGTCTTTAACTTAACTTGTTTGTCAGGGCTTTACTGACACGAAGTTGCATTCCATGGTCCGCAGTCTTTGCCCCACCCTATCTCTGCTCGCCGTTGTTGTTGCCTGCCGTTAATTCAAGGCCTCATTAATTTCCGTCACTCCTGAGTAGGTGAGGGCGGTTGAACCTTGGAGTCAGTTCTGGTTTTTGTCTGCCTGCTTCTTCTTGTGTCCCCTGACCCCGGGAGTTATTATTCTACTTTATGGCCTGTCGAAGCCCCACTCGCTGTTGCTGGGCTGGTGTTGTTCCCGGCTTTTTGCTTACGTTTGCAGTTCGCCGTGCTCTTGATTTCCTTCCCTCTTCAACCTTATATTGACTATTCGCTCCTGTCTGGGTGCGATTCAATTTTGACTTAGGAAGGTTCTGATTGTCATATGCTTCGGGTCGAATTGTATAGAAAGTATTGAAGTATGGAAATAACATTTCATATTGACTTAATGATGGTGATGGTTCAGTAGGCGTAACTTGTGACCTGGTTTAATTGGAGTGGGTGTGAATATCAATAACTTTAGCCTACTCTGTTGTTAAATTCCGACTTTAACGTTACTTTAATAGCAATACAGAATAATTGAGCTTTTTGTCTTAACTAGGCGAATGCGAACTTCTGGTGACCCCCGCAGCCGTGTTGTTCAGCTGGGTCTTGTGCCTTGAGAGATATACAACCCTCTTTTAAATCACCTCTCCCCCTGCCAACCTTCTGCTCTGGGAGTGTTTATTCTTGATTCCAGGTCCAAGGCCCCCTCTCATCCAGACGCGCAGGGTTGTTTACATCAGCTCCCCCCCTGTGCACGTGTTCTAACTAGCTCGGAATTCCTGAACACACAATCAGTGATGATTCCTGGCTTTCTGTGGTTGTGATTTAGACAAAGGCGCCTCTGTTTCTTCCATTGCCTTTGAGTCGACACTGCCCTATTATTTGCCCATGTGCTGAGGTCATAGAATTCGTTTTGACTTCAGTAATATTAACATTCAGTATTGGATTAGCAAATGGGCAATGGTTCATTGATGTAGCTCGCAGCCTGGTCTCCAGTTTGAGCGAGCGCGAGGATCGATAATTTAGCCTACTCTGTTGTTGAATTTCGAATTTTGACGTTACTTTAAAACCATGCAGGATGATTGGGCTTTTGCCTTAACTATGTCTGGCTGACACTCCCACTGTCTCTGCCGCCTGCACGGGTGACATGTGCCCGTTCATCAGGCCTTATCTTCCCTTGAAGCAACGTTGTAAATTCTGCCATTCTAACCCTCCTCCGGTTCATTACTTAACAACACCTGGTGTTTTGCAGTTTGCTGCGCTTGGTGTGTTTCACTCATTAAAAAAAACAAGTAAAAAGATAATATATAAAAATCATCAAATATTATTAATCTCAATTATGGAAGAAGGGTTAGTATACAACATTCCGCCCTTTTAAAAATGACCAGTGGTCAAATGGCCACGGGTTATTTTTAAAAAAATGTATACCCTTCTTCCATCATGAACCATCGATTGTCCTCAAGTTTTGCTGCTATTCCTTACAACGCGCGCGTACGTGTCACAACTTAACATGGTTATTTTGAATTGAGCAAAGAAAATTAAACAAGCGTTAAACATCGATATTGCGTTACATCGGTTCTGATACATCATGACTCCGACGAATATTCATTTTTGTTTTTGTTAAATCCTGGGAAACGCTAGGTAGCGGTTTCGAACGCATTTATGCGTTACTTTCCTCATGTTGCCTCGTTCACCACTTATCACTTCGATAATTCGATCACGGTTTTCGGGGTTCGTTTTTGTAGTTTCTTCTCTCACTCTCTGTGTCGTGGGAGTGTGTGGTGAAAAATTGTGCTGCACATAACCAGAATTCGCGCACCCGACCCACTTTGACCCTTGGTTCGAGGCATTCGCTCTCTCTGCGATTACATGCACATTTGCCGAGTCCGTGTGTCGATTTAATTCTGTCCCTCGTAATGTTGCCCTCTTTGTTTTTACTAGTGTGTTGGATTTCAACACCATTCCCGATACGTCATGGACATTCGTCTCCATTTTAGCACTCCGATCCACATAATTTTTGGTTTCCCTTGGATATTTTCCATTCAAAGGCTCATGCCTGCGCTCCTCAGGGCGTGTCCCTGCTGTCTGTTTTTGTACTGTCCGATCACGCTTCAATGCAACCCTG